GGAAATACATAAGATTTGAGGGGATAGGTTTTCGACGAAGCCGCTGACGAGGCATCTTTGATGGGCATATTTTGCATCTCAACTTCGACCGCTGGCTGCTGTTCTACTTCTTCATCATCATCATCTTCTTCTTCATCTTTGTATTCAGCATCAAAAGCCAATTCACGTGATTCGACAATTTGAGGTGAATTTTCCAGTTCTGCATCGACATAGAAGTCGCCTCCCATTGCTAGGCTTTCACTAGCGACCTGAGCCAGATCTTCACCATCATCGTCATCAAGAGAAAAATCACTCCCACGCGATTCCCTCCGTGGTTCCGTGTATGTAAACAGATTTGTCAGATTAAAGACCGATTCAATTGTCAAGAAGGAGAGGTAAGAATTGTAGTAAAAGTGATACCAGGGACAAAGAGACGAGGTTTGTCTGGATTCGGGGTGGACCTGCATGGCGGGCAAAACGTCTCCAGCGAACAGCGTGCCATAGAGATCACCGAGTTTACATCGATGGTCCGGGTTACCAAGGAACTCGCTGTAGTAGAATACTGAAGGAAGTGAAATTTTGTTGTTCACACTTGGTTGGCCAATGAGAATGCGCTGGGATTTAAAGTAGATACAATAGTAGTCCTGCACGTAGTATGTCCACGATGACGTGCCACTCAGAGAATCCAGAAAGAATCGAATTTTGGCAAAAGAAGGAACAGTGTCAGAAGAAGCATCCGAGAAACGGTGATGGGTCTTCTGATCTGCCTTAACCTGTAGGCAAGTGAAATTTCGAGAAGAGCATGGGTGAATGCTACAAAAACAACCCTAACGAATTCATAGTTTTAAAGCGGATTTGAAATATTCAGCTCAAGCTGAACTTGGGTTACTCAAGTGCCAATCAATGGCATTAAACACTTTGTCAGTGAGTAGCAAATTATTGTCCATTTAGCACTAGTAATACACGTAAAACCACGATGTTATTATGCTTATTGACTTGCATCATGTGCGTTGGTGGCAATACCAGGAAAAGACTCAATGCGTTTGTTCGGCTCCTGTTGGGCCTCCACATGCACCGCATCTCCAACGTCAGTTGAATGGTATTCAAGCTCTTCGTCATCAAGAGGCAGGCATCCATTGGCCTCTGCCCACTCACACCAGGCTTGGTTAGGAGGAACCCGCCGTCCATTTACACTCAGACCTGCTAGCAGCCGCATTGTTTTTTTCGTAAATAGCTTCTCATTTTTTTCAAAGTCCCCGTCAGGAAAATCAAAATTTGGATGTTCAATGAGGTAGATGAGGCCCTTCACCACATCCAACAGACTGTAACAGCTAAAATATAAAGGCACCTGAAATAGTGTAAATAATGCCATAATCTAAATATGAGCAATCTTAGGGTATCGCGGATCCCCAACAGCCTTATGGACGCGTCGAGCAAAATTGTACAACTAACTCCAACTGTCAATTTACGTAAAAGCTTTAAGGAAACTTGCAAGCACATTGCTGGCCCAATTAAACGGTCGTGTAGCACCATCCAAAAATAAAGGCTTGTTTTTATGGATATTCGCAAAAATAAATCGCTAAGTAGTGGTTTAATTCTTGGTAACCCAGCACTTAAATCAACTGTGCGTTTGTCAACAAACTCCCAGCTGTTTTTTGTACGCATGACTTCGATATATGCGCACTCACTAATCCGAACATTAACGTGATGAAAACGACAGACCAACTGATTTAATATGCCATGCTCACTTGAAGTAATTCGTACCTATGCCATTCATCGAAAAGACTTAAGCAAACACTACCATCACAAACGTTAATATCTGGATGAAAGATTGGCGTGATGAAGCAAGCTTCAGGACTGGCTTTGGGATAGGCTGAAGGGCAATCAATCTGTAAGGCATCAAAAATCTAAATAAACAAAAAAAGCATTTGCTTTATTTTTATCGGTTATGCAAAATGTAAATTTTTAACCAGGTTCAACCACTTTTGGCGTCATTTTCATTCAACTGCATTCTTTACCAACTTGCGTAAAAGCTGATCATATTATCACTTAGACCGTGCGGCCACTAAAAAGAAAAATCGCCGAATCGAATATCCACAGAAGAGTAAAACCACGGTAAAATATTGAAGTTATTTGGCAAGCGGACTTCGGTTACAAAACGAAACTAGTAAACAAAACCAATAACACCTTATTAATGGCCACTCAAACTTATGCACATTTCAAGAAACCGTTAATTTTATCCATGTTGACATGCAAGGAATCTGGCAGTTATGTGACTGACTCTCTAAGTTCCATGTACTCGTAATTTACGAGGCGGTCTGCAGGGTAATAGAACAGGCGCTGCTTCCAAAAAGGATCAATAAGCTTAGTTGTCATTCCTACACCAAGGAGCTTAGTTGTTATTTGTACACCATATACTTTGTAATAATATCCTTCAAAAACACTCACGTTGACAATAAACGCAGCGTGTGCATTGCGACCAAATTTCGGATTCAACGACACAATCACCGACAATTCATTCACGGACACTATGGAGGCTTGACCGTCAGTTGAGGTGTCAATTTTGCGATAGAGTTGCTGAACATCTTTGAAAAATGAGCGCTGACCCATTGAATGAGACATTCTTCGAAGAAACAGTGTATGGGACAATAAGTTCCCTAGATAGACACAGGATCGTAGTCACGGCTTCTCTAGATAGTTGAAACACTAAACCTGGCCTGTGCTTCAACCTATGCTACAAAAGTGCCAAGTTATTTAAATGTCGATGAGTCCCTAAGTAAAACAGTCGCTCCAAACTAAAGGCGACAAGAATTTAGTGGTGGCAAATATATTTTTAGGGATTCAAGCGTTATAACAATATTAAACACTGCATCAGAGAATTAAAAAAAGTCTGAGATGCAAATTATGCACTTAAGATTACATGTTCAGGTTTTGGGGGATGATCAGATTTTGTCAGGTAAACATTAAAATTTGGAATACTCACTTAGGCATCGTAATACGAAATGCAAATAAGTTATGATTTCCCCAGATGTAAAAAAAGCATCGGCATATGGCTTAACTGACTTCTAACCTACTGTCCTCACCTTATTCAGGAAAATGACAAGACAAACGAAGCTACCCCGGCCACACTTTCACACCGCTTACGAATTCCGCGGAGTGTGGTCAAGGTTAACTTGAAGCAATCAAACCTCAGCGTCAGTTCCCCATTTGCGAAACGGTACAACACAAAAAAATGGAATCAAGATTATTTGCAAGCATGTCAAATTCACAGTACTTCTAGTTTGTTTCTTCTGCAAAGCACTGCATTCTTATTTTCAGACCTGTCAAATTTGCATTGTTGTGAAAATGTCGAAAAACGACATAGATTTTATTCTTTGAATCCTAATTTTGATGGTAATATGTATTTTTAAATCACAGTTTCTGCTTGCTGTGCAGCGAATTGCAAGTTTAATCTTTCATTTTTTAGAGAACAATATTTTTCTTCTTGGATATGCCGAAATAAACACATTCTTTAAGACCCTCCAGCTTTTGTGTTTTTAAGTCAGTTGTTTTGATACACTCTAAACATGTTGACTTGGACGCTTTTTCTTTAAATGTATATCGTCCTAATTTACCATCAAATTCATTTTCAGCGTGGTCAAATCATTCCATCTTTTTTGACTGCCTCAATTGTTCACATGACTAGCGCATTCTTAAGAAAACAGCAAAAAATGCAAATAATCAAGGCTTAAGCAAGCTGATTACTAAGTTGTACTTAGTGGTGTCTGTCTGTTATGTGTTCTCCTAATCCTAAAGCACTTCTTTTAAGGAAATATATCTGATGTGAATTCGAGAACCACAATTCGATTTCAATTTATACACCATAATTAAGTTTGATAATCCCAAATTGTAATAAAAAGCAAGTTGTTCATTTGCCATGATTACAAATTAATTTTTTAACAGCATTTTGCGCTTCTCCTAGTGAATTTTTAAAATATCTTTCCATTGGAATCGTTTAATATATCCTTGATGCTTGTCGAATTGAAAGACAAGTTTATCCATCACATTTACCACAAATAATATTCCTAATGTACACTTTTGGCATTTTGCTAGACAAAACCTAAATATTTTAAGACTTCTATATATTAACAGAGTCTACAAACGAATTCCAATTTAACAATCAGAAAGTCGGTATTTTTAGAAGCAGTATAATGTTAATATGAATAGTTAAATGTTAAGCTGATGAAGTGTGGCGCTCATCCCAAAAAGGTTGACTAATACTACTCCGTAACACTTGATCAGAACACATATTCACTTGAAAAAAGAAGTTCTCTGCAGTAATTTTCTTCGTCACCTTGAGTCCGCGAATGGCAATGCTTCCCCAGAAGTTGAAGTAAAACTAACCAGCAATAAAAAATTGAGTAGATGTGGAATGTTACTTGAATAAAATTAACATTCAAAAACTGCATCATGACTACTGAAATTTGCATAATTTATCTGAATTAAAACCCTTGTTAATTCTAAATTCAAACACTGGCACATAAAACGTGACTTGGACACACGGTTTCTCGCTCAGACTCGAACCGCATAACAAAGCTATTGCAGACGTTTTTTTTTGTTTCCATGTGTCAAAGGCGGTTCCAATGTCAGATATTAACTTTTAGGAAACTGAAAATAAGTTTACAAAAGCCATACTACAAAATAACCAATCAGGATTAGATGTAAGTTTATCTGTTGCAAAGCAGCCACAAGCTGCTTTAACCGAACACTATATTTTCGACAAATTCTTTCAAGGAGTAGAGAGCATTCAATTTGTTAAAATGCATATTTTAAGCAAGTATTCATGCACAAATGCCCTTTGACATGGCGCAAGGTGAATTTACCTCGTCCACTTCTTGAGAGACTGACGTTTAACTTGAAGACTATTTGCACATATTAGTGTATTTTGCAGCTAACAGGAATGTAAACAGTTGAACAAACATCTAAGCATGAGAGGAAGCAGGGGCAAAAAATCACATTTTTTTTACTCACCTCCTTGAGTGTTCCTAACCCAACGCCAGATTTTAATGTGAATTGGTCTAACTCGGAACCATAATTAGAAATACACACAGGTCTCAAATTCTAATTTTACCTTTAGAATGACAAATGACACAATTATAACCGTAAATACGGCATTTCAAAATCTCTTACATCTAAATATAAGACTTTTTAGTGGACTTCAAGTAGAAACAATGTGATAACAGAAAGCCCTACTTAAAATTGTTTGGCAAGTATTTAGCGAGAATGTCATCTCAAAGGTTAATATTCAGATTTAGGTCTCTGAGTCTTGTAATAGATTCTATTTCGCATAAGTACGTTTGTGTTGAGCCCAATCTGCAGATATTTGAATAGAGCAAAAACCGTCTTCAATTAAATGTTGAGAGCCAGCAACATTGAATGTATATAATTGCATAGGAACGTTACTTTGGGACATTTGGTAGTCATGTTTATGTTTTAGGTTACAAAATGGCAAATCAAGTTTTAATTATTTAAACATTAGGCCGAGGTTCTGTGGATGACCCCGATTGACGCCCTTTCCCCCTTCTACCGTGTTCCCATTCCTCGTCAAGAGGAGGACGCGGAGCAA